TCGATGGTTTAATTCCTCGAAGAAATAAAATCCTCTGCATCTCCGTAGACGTAGGCAAATTTATCGAACCATGTAAATCTGTGTGTCGCTCCGGTGTTTTTCTACGTGCAATTTTTCTCGTTCTATTTCTGTTTTATTGCCGTCGTTTTTCACAACAATTAAACTATTTGAATTTATCGCACCAAGTTACTTATTTTGACCGCAAGCACATAAAAAAAATAAAAATTATTTGTTTCTTCAATTAATATATAAAAAATCTAATTACACTCCAAGTATTTGATTTGATAATTCGTAATATAATTTGAAAATAATAATCTAAAAATTACATTAAAATCCAAGTCCTATAAAGTGACTTTTCAATAATGTATCACGAGAAAAAACAAAAAAAAAAAAAAAAGAAAGTAAGAAAAGCACTTTCATAAACTAAAGTGATTTCATGGCTTTCGGCGAACCCATGCCAGCTAATTAAGAACAAATCCGGTCCACCTCTCTCTTTTTCCTTTTTGTTTTCATTCTCCTTAATTTCTGAGGGAATAGATATGTAAAGGCGAGGGGACCCAATGGAGAGAAAATTTGGGAAATTTTTCCTCCCACTGCCCCCCATCATTATATTCTAAATTTGCATAAAATCTTACTAATCGAATAGCGGACCCCTCACATCCAACTATTGAAAGCAAACTCGCTAGGTTTGTTCCTGTGAGACGAGAAATTATTACGTTTGGTGTTCGTACAGGCGGATATTAGTGAAGATCCGATCACGTGAAATATATGGTTCGGATTATCGTTGTATCTAAAAGTGTGGTTCAGTACGCGTAATAATTTCCTCTATGAAAAGCCCCTATCAAGATGGAAAAATTATTACATCCGGAGTGCGGACAACGACCGGGATGCAGCGAGGAGAGCGGAGGTCCGATTCCCGCCCTCTGCCGGTGCATCCGGGCCGTTGTCCGCACATCCAGACATCCGGATGTAATAATTTTTTTTTTTATCAAGATGACGTGCAGCTTGCTCCTTACTAGAAGTTTTCCCTCTTGATGTTGCTTTCTAAACTGTATTTATATTTTTTTTTATAAATTTAAATGTCAATTAATAATATTGATATTAAACAGTAAAATTAAATTTGATATTCTATGGGTTATTTTATATAGAAATCATATAATTATTATGTATTTATATATTTAACACCTGAGTAGGGAAGTAAAGGAGATTAGTTGAGCTTGAGCCATGTCTTACTCAAACTAGGCTCATTTGTCAAAACATAAGCTCGAGTTTGTGCTCAAATGAAACTGTCTTGAACGATCAATGGAGAAGTTATCTATGGGATCAATGTCAGCAGAAATATAGAAATTACACGAGAACTCATTGTAGAAGGCATCAATGTTATCAGAATCTTGGCTTGTTGAAACAACGAGCTAAGCCTCGACCGGTTCTAGCTCGATTAATAAATGAGCTTGTGGCTTGATAAATTCAACTCATAAGCTTATTAACCGGTCGAGTTTGAATCAACTCACAAGCCGACAACTCTAACACTCCAAATTTCCAATACATAAACTTTCATATTGATATGCCTAGCAATCTTTAATATCGCTATTAATAATTTTTTTTAAATGAAAAACATATATTCATGCACATATTTATGACATCAAAGTATAGTAGGTGTAAATAAAGTATCAAAATATCCACATGGCTGATTAAATGCAGCTTTTTTAGTTCTGGAGTCTATTAAAAAAATTTGAGATTAAATTGATATTTTTATAAATTTTGGGACTAAAATGGTGTAATACAAAGATTTCAAAGCTTAAATTCTAAAAGAGCGTTTAAATAAACAATTAATAATTTATGCCTATGAGGAAAACTTTGAAAAATATTTTTTTTTAATTTAATTTTTAAAAATGACAAATTTAAATATTAAAAACTAATGAAATTGTCATGTGGCGTGACAAAATTGCCCTGCCACCATTTTTTTTTTGAATGATACAAAATGAGATTGTTCTTTTTCTTTAAAGAGAATGATTACATTTAAGAAAAGTTATTACGTGAGAATAAGATAGATGAGGATGGTGCGGATTTGGTAGTATTTTGCAACCAAATAGCATCAATATTATCGTCAAATTGAGTCTCCCGAACCTAAAAATTCTAAATTGGTTCAATCTGAGTTCAATCAAACCAAATCAAACCATCGAAGCGCAATTTGAAGCTTTATATTATCAATTGAATTATCAAATAAACTTTAATTTTGTCATATTTATCATTCAATCAAGTATCTCAACGAGCAGGATCCAACGTGCTTAAGTTCACTCAATTCCAAAGTCATCAAGACAATCAAACTTTTAAAATATTATCCATAATTAAATATAATCAACATGGATCATCCAAGCAGACAATTAAGAAAATTAAGCGTCAAAAGACTAAAACATCCCCCATAAATCTAAAAATAGCCCCCGTTCTTTATTTTAAGGGGGAGGAGAAGAAAAAATGAAAAATAAAATTTCAGAACCTATTTTAAATTCGAGCAAAACTACACCATTTGATATGAACAAATTGCTTATAAAATATCACTAACATTTATCACTACATGAAATATCAATGTAAGTTTTGTTTGAGATAAATTGGTCAACAATTCTTATTCCCGACACGTCTGATGTTGCATTTATCAACAAATTGATTTAGTTCTATGATCTCTTTTATTTTATGCCAATGTAATTTATTCATGCTTTGTAGTGATATATTTGTCATTTTAGCTTTTCAATTTTCATTTTTTTACGCTTATGACATCGAGAAATTTTGGATAAAAGATTGGTTTTTGATCAGCAGAGGAAAATATTTAAGAACTTGAACTTCCATTACCAACTCCCCAAACCCTAAACACTTCAATCATTCTGTGCTCAATGCTTACCTAATCATTTGTCGTTGAATTAATACTGTGAAGAAAGATAAATTTAAATCTAAGTCTTATTATTACTGCTCGCATCTACATGCTTTCACGCACAGAGTTTTTTTATGATCTTATGGTCTTAATGAATTCAGAATCGAGCAATCTTAGACTCGTTAGATTCATGTCATCTCCTACTCTTCACTTTCTTCAAAAAAGTTTCCACCCTCATTGTTCACTACATTGTCTCCTGCCTTGGTTTTGACATCTCTGGCGAATCATAACACATGTTCCTCAGCTTGCAGTTGTGGGAGCCCTCTTCGATGTCGGCGGCCGTCTTGACTAGCTTGAAATCCGATTTTTCACTCGTTGGATCCCTTTCGGAGTTTTCTACCTTCATTCAAAAGGCATTGCCCACAACGGTGTGGAGGGAAGGAAAGTTCTTCTCTGCTCTGATGGCCATGCAAACCCTGCGGATTTTGATTGTGCGAGGAGTGTTGGCGTTGGATGCGTCTGACAGATGCGTTGCGTTTGTTTTTACAATAGATTGAAGTCAATCAATCAATAAAGTGGCAAACGGTCGGTGGAGTAGCAAAGTGAGTGGCCGAATGACGGCGATGAGGCATGGCGTGACGAGGCAAAACCAAAAAGGAATAATAATAAGAGTATTAAAAGGGACCATTTTTTATCCAAATGTTTTTGGAGGTGGTGAAGGAAAAATTGATTGGAGGAGATCTCGAAGTGTGGAGTAGGTCTATGGGAGAATAGATTGATTTTTTTTTGCGATAGCCGAAGATGATAAATAGAGGGAATCTGCTGACGTGTGAGTTCCCCTTGCGATTTCTGCTAGGAATGTCGACCTTGCTCATCTTCTTGTTGATCACACGATCTATACTCACCGCACATTTTAGGATGTCAATTCTAAATTTGTCTGATGGATTGTGCCGGAGGAATAGAATGCTGAATCAAGGAAAAAGAGATTTGAGAGAGAGAGGGAGAAGATTTCCACTGATCTCGTAGACCCATTTTATTTCATCAAAGATATATGTTACATGTGAGGGGTCCCCAAGGTTTGATCTCCCATTATATACATAATAAAACTCTCGTATTTATAGAAATTAGGAGTGAGAAAAAAATATAAAAATTATATATTTAACTCTACTTTAAAAATGAGTGCAAGCGCATTCTAGTCCATTTATCTTGAACGGTCATCGAGATACGTTCAGACCATTCTTGAGTATACAATTTAAAACCCTTTAATAAAGTTCTTTTATACTTTGACTACTATTCATGGTGGGTCGCAAATATTCCAAATTCTAATGAGGGAAAGTAATGCATTACACATCTAATGATAAAGCCAAACTATGAAGCCAAATTAAGAGTTGTTTGAGATCATATTTATTTTTTTCTTTTATTTTAATGAAATATTTTTAAAAATTAAAATATTTATATGATTAATTATCTTTAAAAAATAATTTATAAAAAAATATTTATTTTATTTTAATAAATATTATTTTAAAAGGATATTTATATCAACATTTGAATACATTGATTCTTTTTTTGGCATAAATTTATAAGATAAAAAAATAGTTATAATGATTTAGAAATAAGATATTAAATTTTGAAGATTTTTATATGACTAATAAATTACATAATATGATTAATTTCTGAAATAAGTACATGGCTATAGGGGTGTAAAAGAGCTCAGCTCGTGTTCAACTAGTTAAAAAATATCACCGTTCATATTCGGCTCATGTATATATCGAGCGGAAAAAAATTGTTCATGTTCAGCACATTTGCTTAACAAGCCAACTACGAGCTATTTGCGAACATCAAGTCATTTTGATAACCTAGTTATGAAGACTGCAGTTTTAGGATGCTAAGTATATGGGTGAGATTTAAATATTATTATTTATATTAAAATATTTATTTAACTAGAATTTACTATATTTTTGATGTATATATATATATATGTATGTATGTATGTATATATATATATATGTATGTATGTATGTATATATATATATATGTATGTATGTATGTATATTAATTAGAGAGAAATGAAATACTCCATTTTAGCTAATATATTTCGGCTCGGAGTGATTAGGCAGCCATCCTTGGCATGAACGAACCGGTTCCTCGGGTCAACTCATACTTGCATCTCGAGTGCGCTATATATAACTCCCTCTGGGCGAATCAGCAAATTAGGGTTTACGCTCAGAAACTAAGCGGCGGCGAAGATGGTTGAGAAGGGTAGCAAAGGGCGGAAGGAAGAAGTTGTCACAAGAGAGTATACCATCAATCTTCACAAAAGGCTCCACGGATGGTACCCTCTTTTCCGTTTGTTATCTCATTTTCTCGTCTCTCTCTTTTGTCTGGCCCATTTTAATTTATTTCTATACATGTATGAAGAAATGTTCTGTGATTTGTGGTTATCAAGATTAAAGTTCCTCGATTAATTTTTTTTTCTTTTTGTGTTGATCCTTTGAAAAATGGACTTATAATCTGTTTTCGATTTTTGTTTGCTATCTGGGAGGTACTTGGAATCTTCATTGATCTTTCTATTTACCTTGCTTGGTTTTCTGGTAATTTTTATCAATTTTCCATGGAAATTGAAGAAGATTATTTTTTATTTTGCGTCTTTGTGGGTGATTTCTAGTCACATTGGAAGTTTTCTTTTAATTATTTACACGATTAACACCAAAAATTGGCGATTGTTGTTTTCTTGTTTGCGTGTGCCACTGTCACACTGTGCTATCAAACTCATTTCAGTTATGGTGGGATTGTTGGGAGGAACTTAAGTGTTAAAGTTGACTCATTGGTAAGATTTGAAATTTTAAATGATTGAACAAGGAGGACTCATAGCTATTAGGGTAGATGCTACCTAGAGAAGTGATCAGTAGTAGGGCTGTCAAAACGGCTCGTTGTTCGCGAACGGCTCGTGTTCGGCTAATTAAGAAGCTCGTGCTTAGCTTATAACGAGCCGAACACGAAGAACACGAACCAATATTTGTTCATTCTTGTTCGGCTCGTTTTGGCATGAAATACTACTAATCAATTATATATATATCTTTGATGAGTAGCATTTTAAAAAAATTTAATTGACTACAAGGCTACAAAGATTTATAATTAATTAAAAGTTTTAATGAAAAAAATAGAATAAAAATCATTAAATTAGATTCAAATGATGTTTTAAATATTTCACCAATCCTTAACATCTTATGACTATGTGATTAGGCTTGTCAAAACGACTCTTTGTTCATGAACGGCTCATGTCTAAGCAAACGAGCCGAACACAAACACACTTTTTGAGCTCGAAATATAAACGAGCCGAACACGAGGCTCAGCTCGTGTTCGGCTTGTTTACAAACCCTAATCAGTAGTCTCATATTCGGCTCTCTAAGCAAACGAGCCGAACACAAACACACTTTTTGAGCTCAAAATATAAACGAGCCGAACACGAGGCACTTTTTGAGCTCAAAATATAAACGAGCCGAACACGAGGCACTTTTTGAGCTCAAAATATAAACGACCCGAACACGAGACTCAGCTCGTGTTCAGCTTGTTTACACCCCTAATCAGTAGTGTTGTATTTGCAGGCTTGTTGAATGGGCTTGTTACATATCCTTTTAATGGATTTCTATTAAAAGAAATAACTTTTTGAGAGTAATTAGACAACTACTTTGTAGAGTTTGATTACCTTTTGACTGTTTTTTGGTAAGCACATTAACAATACTATGGATCATTAGAATGTAGTTTCTTAGAAAGGTATCGGCTTTTGACCTTGGCCAATAACTTTCGCATTTGTTGTATCAATTCCGGCCCAATCTGATCTACTCTCCAGCCAACACATTGAGCTTGGGTGATTTTTTGTTTTATAAGAAGATGCGATCAATTTTTGTTGATTGGATTGTAATGGGTGATTTTTTAGCAGTATAGGAGGGATGTGCATGTTTTGACAGTAGGTTTTTGTGGCTCATAGAGGTTCATATGATTTAAAAGGCATTTTTGTTGTGAGTGGGAGGGAATTGCGGGTGGATGAGCCTTGAGTTTAGTATGTCCGCACCTTGCACGGCCATGTGATGATTATGAGCTATGCACAAAATGTATTTTGGAGCATTATTTTTTAAATATAGATGATTGTAAAGGTGCCCAAAATTATTTTAATAAACTTCTAGTAAACTGCAAAGCCTACCTAAGTGTTTTTTTTTTTTTTTAAATTAAGGCTCAATATACTTTTGAAATAGATTCACAACTGGTGAAAGATCTTTTGGACACTTGGCTGCCTATTGTTTTGCATAGGACCATTACTTGATCATCTTTGTGATGGTGCAAGTTTGTGTCTATGCCTCAATTACAAATTACTGTAATAATTTGTGTTTGTATCATTTTATTCATTGATATAATTTAAAATTCGTCATCATAACTGTATATTTCAAACTTGTCTGAAGCAATCTTTTTAATTGAAATTGGATGAAGGTAATTTGTAGGATGCAATATTGTGCATTGCTATAAGGTGATTTGTGGTAATCTTTGAACAACGTTTAAATTTTTCAATCATGCATTGAACGACCGGCAAAAGATGTATTGGAGAATCAAAAGGAAAAATTTTTGTAAATAAAAATAGTTGGTGGTGGAGTAATAATGTAAAAGAAAAGATAAGATATAAGAAGTTATATTATAAAAATTGATTTAAACGTAAAAGCTTAGAAAACTGGGAAAAATATAAAATTGCCCGTAGAGAGTCTAAGAGTACAATCCGTGATGCCAAGAATTTTGCTTTTAGTGATTTTTATAATATATTAGATACTGAAGAAGGTGAAAAATATATGTATAAACCTTCCAAATAAAGAGAAAAGAAAAATATAGATATAACTTAAGTAAAATGTATTAAAGATGAAAATCAAAAAGTGTTTTTTTAGAAAAAGATATTCGACATAGGTGGGTGAGTTATTTTGATAAACTTTTCAATGAAGTTTTTGAAAATAAAATTGACCGTAGTGATCTTAATATTATAAAAATTGATTTAAACGTAAAAGCTTAGAAAACTGGGAAAAATATAAAATTGCCCGTAGAGAGTCTAAGAGTACAATCCGTGATGCCAAGAATTTTGCTTTTAGTGATTTTTATAATATATTAGATACTGAAGAAGGTGAAAAATATATGTATAAACCTTCCAAATAAAGAGAAAAGAAAAATATAGATATAACTTAAGTAAAATGTATTAAAGATGAAAATCAAAAAGTGTTTTTTTAGAAAAAGATATTCGACATAGGTGGGTGAGCTATTTTGATAAACTTTTCAATGAAGTTTTTGAAAATAAAATTGACCTTAGTGATCTTAATATTGTTAATAATAGTAAAATATTTTATTTTTACCATCGCATTAGTAAAAAAGAGGTTGAGGTTTTAAAGAAAACCAAGGGTGGAAAGTTTGTAGGGCCTGATGATATCACAATTGAGTGTGGAAATATTTAGGAGATTTGGGAGTTTATTGGATTGCTAAACTCTTCAATATTATTTTAAAAATTAAAAAGATGTCTAAGAAGTGGAGGAAGAGTATTTTAGTTTTCATTTTTAAGAATAAAGGTGATGCACAAGAATGTGCAAATTATAAAGGAATTAAGTTGATTTGTCATTTATTAAAATTATGGGAGATGGTAATTGAGCATAGGTTAAGACGTATTACAAAGATTTCTCATAATAAATTTGGATTATGTCGGACAGGTCTGCCATGGAAGCTATACATTTATTGAGAAGTTTGATGGAGAAGTACAAAGAGAAAAAGAAGGATCTTCATATGATTCTTATTGATTTAGAAAGTGCTTACTATAAGGTTTCATGAGATATCCTTTGGAGAGTTCTAGAGAAGAAAGGTTGATATGGCTTACATTCAAGTCATTAAAGATATGTATACTAGAACTGTTAGTTGTGTTCGAACAAAAGGAGTAATGCCCAAATATTTTCCCATTTCAGTTGGATTACCTCAAGGATTGACTTTAAGCCCATATCTTTTTGTTTTAGTTATGAATGCTCTTTTTGAACATTACAGGAGGATATACCTTGGTGTATGCTTTTTGTTGATGATATACTTCTTATGGATAAGACTAGAGAAAGAGGCCAAGAAAACTTGAATAATGGAGGTATACTATGGAGTCTAAAGGCCTTTGTTTGAGTAGAACTATAAGTGAATACATGGAATGTAATTTTAGTTATAGTAACTCTAGTGATATGGTTGTAACTATGGTTGATCAAATTACTAAAAAGTGTAAACTTTTTAGATATCTTGAGCTTATTGTTCAAAGGGATGGTGGTATAGATGGGGATGTTATTACTAGAATTCAAGTTGGCTGGTTGAAGTGGATGAATGCTTCTTGCCTATTGTGTTATAGAAAATTACCGCTTAGACTGAAAGAAAATTTTTATAAGAGAGTGATGAGAACTACAATTCTCTATGGCGCAGAATGTTGGCCTTTAAAATTGAAGCATAAAACTAAGTTAAGTGTTACCAAGTTGAGAATACTTAGATGGATGAGTAGCTTTACACTTAGAGATAAATTGTGAAATAAATGTATCTATGATAGGGTTGGTGTAGCTCCAGTAGTGGATAAAATTAGAGAGAGTCATCTTAGATGGTTTGGCCACATTGAACGCCGACCATCTGATGATCCGGTTATGAGAGTAGATATTTTAGATTCGACTTATGTAAGGCAGGGTAGACTTAGAAAGGCTTGGGCATATTGTATAAAAATGATCTTAATTTATTAGAATTAAATGAAAATATGAAACTCAATATGACACAATGGAAAAAAAGGTTTCATGTAACCGACCCCCACTTAGTGGGATAAAGGCTTGTTATAATTGTACATTTTTTTGTGAAGCGAGGCACAAGTCACTAAAATTAAATAAAGATAAATAAAAAATATGAAAAATAAAGTATTTAAGCTTAATAGATATTAACCATAAGATATCATAATAAAAATGTATGCAAGAACTCAACGATAAGCAAGAAGTTCGATACAAATAATTAAATAAAAACGATAAGTTAAAAATAAACAAAATGCCTTATTGTGTGTTAGAAAATTTATTGGAAGAGCGAGAAATTTTTACATCTCAATTTGATACGGATATCATCCACATAAACAATTGAAATTAGAGAATACATGAATATGAATATGGGAGCAAGTTTGTGCAATTTACTTTTTTTTCCTTCTTGAGTTTTTCATATGGAAATTTTTTGTCTTCGATTTTTCTCATTTATTTGTTTGTTTGCAAGATTTTTGCTTGAAAAAAGAAGCAAAAATATTATTCTTTTGTTACTAATTTTCTAGCATGCAATAGTTTAGCATTTTTTCTCGGAATAAATAACTTTATAATTGCAATTTTTTAGGTTGATTATTTTATCTGAGCCAGGCCGCATAATTTTTCCCTTCTCAAGTCTTTCATTTAAAAATTCACGTCTCCTATATTATCTTATTTTATTTATTTTTTCGTGGGAACTTAGGGCGTGTTTGGCGCAGCTTATTTGGGCATTCGACATTTTAAAAGACGTCGAAATGACATTTGGCTATCGCATTGAAATGACGGTTGAAAATGCGCGATGAATTTTATTAAGGAATCACGACCGCGGGATTGGCCCCACGGTTTGCGTTCTGTCTTAGCTTATCACTATTGAGCTCCTCGTTCCCGTCTCCGTTCTCGCCTCATTGCCCCAGCTCTGCAATCAATTTTTCATACCCGCGCCTCTCTCCTCTCTCTTCTCCTTTCCCTTCTCTATCTGTGTTCCGGTTATTAGCCCATGTCTTGGAATTTCTCTTTGAGAAAGTTCTGCACACAATCACTCTTCCTTTTAGATAGTGAACGAATTAGGTAATCCCTCTTACGGCTTATAGTTCCACACGGGTCTTCTTCCATCTAAAGAATTTACGGTATCCTTCTATGTTTGTTTTCTTGGATTTTTTTCCTTTACTCTGCGAAATTTGTTTCGGTGATTCTTGGTGTTGGTTTCTGGAGAAAAGTTCTGGTTTGTTGGTTCATATTGATGATTTTCTTTCAAACATTACATAGCATGCATGAGTACATGGTGGAAAAGCTCTTTTGTATAACCTGTTCAACTGGATTTTCGTGAACCCTAGATATGTGCAACTGAAATCTTGGTGTAGTCTTGCTCACCGTGCTTAGAATGGTTAGATAATAGCTAAAAGAACGAGAAAGATTTGTTTTAATTGTTAGTTGAATGCTTGATCAGTTATGACTCGTTAATTCTTTGATGGGGTGGAAATCTAATGATTCCAAGGGCAATTAACATAACATTGTCACAAGTTATTAAGAATTTTTGTATTCACATATCAATTATATTTTGTGATGGTGATGAACTATTAATGGTCAAATATTAACAAACATATAAGTGTAAAAAAATTGTTTTTTTGCCCAATTTTTTTGGTGTTAACTTATTTGGTGTTAACTTATGTTAGGTTACCGCTTATATCGATTATATATAAAATAGAAACTATAATTAGATTTCTTTTTACGATAATTGTGGTTGACATGATCTCTATGGATGGAGGAGATCTACTTGTTATCCTTTATTGGTATTTAATATGAGTTTTTTCATTTTCATTATGTAATGCAAATTAACATGTTCGGTTTGTGACATGTTAAGTTAGTTTGTTTAACTGTCAATTCTTCAATTAGTTCCTACATGGCTAAGATGAAAGAAGGTTGGTCAGCAATGTGGGATAAGGAAGTTACATATATTTTTTGTGCAATGTGGGATAAGGAAGTTACATATATTTTTTGTGATATTTGCTTTAAATAGATTAAGGCTGGTAATACTTGTTATCCTTTATTGGTATTTAATACGAGTTTTTTCATTTTTATTATGTAATGCAAATTAACATGTTGAGTTTGTCACATGTTAAGTTAGTTTGTTTAACTGTCAATTCTTCAATTAGTTCCTATATGGCTAAGATGAAAGAAGGGAGTCCTTCAGTAATGTGGGATAAAGAAGTTACATACATTTTTTTTATCTTTGCTTTAAATAGATTGAGGCTAGTAATAGACCTACCACATACTTTAATAAGAAATGTTGTCAAAATATTTCGAAGAGGTACAAAGAGTTGATTAGAAGGGAGTATGATAGGCTAATATTCAAGAACAAGTGGGATCAATTGAATGAGTGAAAGTTATGGAAGGAACTGAAATGGGGATCCACTGGATTGGGTTGGGATTCCATTATGCGTATCATTGATGCTTCAGAGGACTGGTGGACTAAGAAGCTAAAGATAATAATGAAGTAACATATACTTTTTGCTCATGATCATTTTTGTTTTGTTTTAACTAATCCCCCTCCCCCATCCCCCCACGACATTGCAGGTTGTACCATCTGCAAAAAAAATTAAGTTGCGCAGAATGGAGTCGGACTTTGAAGATAAATTGGACGTAATGTTCAAAAGTGTTGTCTTGACGGTTAGCTTGCGTTCAACCCAAGTGAACAGAGTTTTGCAAGTATCTCACATGACTTGCCACCCGAGCAGGTAACGAGTTCTGGTAAAGGGCATATTATAAACTCTAGGAAGGTCGAGTCCACGTACCAATCAAAGAGGCGTAGGGTGGGAAAAAGGAGGACATAAAAAGATGTTTTCGTGAAGAGCTCGATAGATAGACTGATATAAGTCTTTGCAACTATGCCACCTCCTGCTACAGTTGACACCACCATCAATGATTTTTTTTGTAGTGCAGCTGCGGCGATTGCTATATTGCTGCTAGAATACTATTGCTCCATCACTGTTCAAACACCACGCATGACGTTGTTCTTTATTAGGGATAAATGGGTGGTTGAGATGCATGTTGGCATCCAATAAGGTTCAATAATATCGCATGAGTGTACCCAATTTTTTGGATCTCCTTCACGAGCTACGTAGCACCACGATCTCCAAGGTTCGTGTAGAACAACTACAAGGGAGGTGTCAGCAATAACTCTGTATATTCTATCTCAGAACGAATCAATCAGAGAAACTATGAAGCGATTAGAACATTTCTTAGAGACAATAAGTCGATACTTCTCAGAAGGTTTGAAAGCATTAGTTTGTTTAGCGTCACACATAATTAAGCTAGACGATCCATCATTCAGTACAACCCCAGAATATTTGCCAATGGCCCGTTATAGTTCTGGTGAAAACAACAACACTGCACAGTGTCAGAATGACCATTTATCCAGAAAAAATTGCAAATCAACTGTTTTTCAAACGCACATAACGAAGAGCTAAACAACTTATCCAAGTCAGGGGGAGAATGATCATTTATCCAGAAACAACTGCAAATCAGCTGTTTTCCAAATGCACAAACCAAACAACCAACCAATTTATCAGGATAAGCTGCTGATCAGCATCTTATCATAATAAATTGCTTGTTTGGATAAGATGGATGAGTGAAATTATGATATATAGTTTTCACTCTTCTTCCATAATTTTTTGGCATGCAATAGTCATAAAATAAACTAGTTATGAATTATTACTCCAAATTAAAAAATCTCCTTCTGCTAACTTAAATTCTTTTGAGAGTTCAGTCAACTATCCTTAATCCTTTCACTCATAATACTGAATGTAGTACGGAACTATTGCGCGTCTTTGGTTTCTTTTATTCTGGTTTTTTAATATATTTTTTAGATAATTTTGTATACTACAATCATTCTTTTCATTCATGATACTTATCTAGTTTTTAATTTAAATTTTTTCGGTCATTTCTTGACTCATATTTTAAGTCGAAGCAAAACTATATTGTATGACATGAAGACATTTGTTTACAACATATCACACCGTTTTATAAGTAAACGAAATGACTGAGAAATTGTACTTTCAACGCAACTTTTTTTGTTTGAGATAATTTGATCTGATGCTGCATTCATCAAAAAATTGATTTAGTTTGCTGGTTTTCTTTTATTCTGCTTGTAATTTATTTTATACCAATGTATTTTCCCTAAGGTTCTGAAAACCGAACTGGACAATGATCCGATAGAGGAAGAGGTTCAAGATTCAAAGGTTGAACCGGGATTTTGAATCGGGGTTCAACTAGATGACATAATAAATTATAAATTTATTTAAATGTGACAAAAATGATGTAATTTAAAAAAAAATTGATTGTGAAAAATAAAATACATATCCCAATATTTAAATAACCTTCCTGATAATAGCTTTAGCATGTTATCGTATAAGTAAATAGCAATTAATTTTTAAAAAAATTAATAATGATATATAAGAATCATACTATATTTATTACCTTATAAATTAAATGTTGGAACTTATTATTAAGATTAACATAGCATTAATATATATTTATATATTAACTATATTTATATATTAACATTTTATATATTAACATTGCTACATGCATGCATACATACATACATACATACATACATCCATACATATACGTCGAGATGCAATATTTTTTCCTACCTACATCCACACACACACACATATTGTATTTCACGGTTCGCATGATATTTAGTTGATGGGAAATTCACATACATACCACACTTTAGTGCTATAAATCTATGCATCGCATTTCCCATACATACCACACTTTAGTGCTATAAATCTATGCATCGCAACATGTATTTCACTTCTAAATGTTACTAATGATGGTATGTTTGATGTGATGTTAAAATTTTATGCGTAAATATAAATATGAAAGTGTGTGTTTGATACATAAAAATTATGCGATATGTATGTAAATGGCCTTTACTTATTTTGAAGTTTCTCTCAAAAATTTGAAGAATGCTTCAGGATGCCATGCTCTGGACTCGATTCTGGTTAGTTTAAATCCTAAACCCTAACCCATAAAAAATACGGCTATATTAACTTTTTAGAAGTTGAAATATGCTTTTTTTCATGCATAGATAAGGCGGCATATATGTAAAAATTGAAGTATAGGTGTCTGAAATGTAAATACATAAGGATTGAGTGGCCTGTATGTAAATGTTCCTAGATTTTATTAGTCAGTTTTGATATGATTTATGATTCATTGAACAGCACATTCAAGAAGAAGGCCCCTAAGGCTATAAAGGAGATCAGGAAATTTGCGCAGAAGGCAATGAGGACTACCGATGTAAGAATAGATGTAAAGGTGAATAAGCAGATATGGAGCAGAGGCATCCGAAGCGTCCCCCGGCGAGTTCGCGTGCGGATTGCTCGCAAGAGGAATGAGGAAGAGGATGCCAAGGAGGAATTCTACTCCCTTGTCACTGTTGCTGAGATCCCTCCTGAGGGTCTCAAAGGCCTGGGAACGAAGGTAGTTGATGAAGCAGATTGATTTCAACCCCTTAAAAGTCTCCTCTGCGTCATTTCTTTAAGTAATCCTTCAAATTTTCAGTTTTGTACGAGTTTTTCTGCACTTTATTATTATTTTTTTTGTTTAGGACTTAATTTATTTACAATGATGCTTTCCAGCGATGTTTGTTAAATTATGTTTCTGTTTAATGAGTCAGCGGGATCTGAAGTGTTTAATTTTTACCTAATTCTTCCTAAAAAAAATTCAAGTTAATTGATTACCGTATCTGGTTTTTGAGAATTTTGATCAAAGAAAAGGTTTACATACATCATTTAAATCCTATGTATTTATAAATCTAGCATGTAAATTTCAATTATTACATGCATTTCAGCTTATGCATAAAAAGGTGCTTTTAACATTTCTAAAATTAAAATGGTGATATGAATGTAAAAAAGCAAGTTTTGGTGTTAGATCTGTAAATGCTTGGCAATTGGTTTGTTATGCACGTAAATGCCCAGAAAACTGCTGTCAGGTCAGAAAATTTGGATAGAATATAACATTAAATTCTGATTTAAATTCTAAATTTCAATATTTATTTATTTAAGATTTAAAATCTTAATGACATTAATGATATTATTAGTTTAGTTTTATATAATAAAACATTCATATATATTAATATAACCATGGCATTAAAATATTTTATAAATGGTTATTAACTCTAGATATTATATATATAAATACATTTTTATGAGATCTTTTCTATTAAGCTTAACAGTATTAGTTCAAATTTTATAACAGAAACTAAACAAGCGCCAAATAAAAAGGCCCGAATGAGCAGAAATGATTAAATTCAGTACTTCCACAACATTTTTGCTAGCTTAAAAACAAGACAAATGTAGGCCATTTGGTATCCATAACGATCTTTAAATAATATGAAGACTAATTCGATCTCTTTTAAGAATATTTCACAAATCAATATATTTTCAGAGGGAGCGACAATAACAAGGCAACAACAATCTCGCAAAGAATAGGAAAGGAAAATGAACTTAAATTAAACATTCAAGTACACATGTCAAAGCAGTCCAAAGTTCGGAGTCTGCTGAAGCAGTATAATAATCTATACAAAGTTACGGAACTTTTAAAAACTACAGCTGCAGTTAGGTGGATGATGGAGAAACCAACTCCCCTTTCTGGAATATGAATGATCTGGTGAAGACTGAAAAGAGCAACACAGTTTTCTGCAATTTCGCAAAGCAGTTGGCTTGCCATAAAATGAAAATTACATTTAAGAACAAGTAATATAAACTCAAGTGCATCCCCAGTAAGAGTGAGTCGAGCAAACCCGTGAGCTGGATTTGGCTTGACTAAATAAATGACTCGTGAGTTGAGTTTGATGAGCTAATGAGCCAAGTATGAGTAAGCCTCAACTCAACTCAACTCGGCTTGTGAACCAGCTAATTTTAAAAAATACTAATATAAAGTATGCTTAATATTTATTAAAATTCAAAAGTTTAATTATAAATTATTAAAAAAATATTTGATATTATAGTTATATGAAGTGATTTCTTATTATCAATTCTTTACGGTCTTGTTTTTTAATTAATTTATTACAATAGTTGATTGAATCAAAAAAATATTTTATCTTCAATAATAAAGAAGTTAGCAAGTGAACCGGCTCGAATTTTTAGAATTAAACTCGAGTTTGAGCTCGAAATTAATTAAATAATCAAACTAAAGTTCCAGTCAATAGTGGTTCGGTTTCCATAAAAAATACACTAAAAATACAAAATCCATAGTAGTACAAGTTCATATTTCAACCATATGAAAATTACCAAAGAAAGACAGAAATTGAGTACCTCGAATTCCGTATTAAAGTACTAGTAAACCTCAGAAATCAGAGGGCTGTCATCTTCATCAATAATTAAGTTAATAGCACAGACCACAAGCCTGTAAAAGTTAATACGGATTGAGGGAGCAATGTATTGCTAATGTGTAAATTAATTGGAGTTTAGAACAATGAACCTTAATTTTATATAAAAACCAAAGTATGTAAAATAGAACATGTTGAAGCCTGAATTTGCATAAAAAATAATTAAGCCCAAGTGCGGAAAGATGAGGCCGAAGCTAAGTCCCCATTCAGACAGAAAATTAGACCCTAAATATTGAATTATTTGAACCAGGCTCTCATGCGAGAGTTTCTGATTAGGATAAAGATTGTATCAAATATCAATTTTAATAAGTATCATTTCATCAGCTATAGATATGGTTAAAAAATTATTATATTATATATATGGTATCTTGGTGCTTATTACCTATAGATAATATAGTTTTAATTGTTCAAACCCACTTTTAAGTTTGTGAGTTGGACCAAGGACACACCAACTAGAAATCTAGAATTAAAGTTCGGTGATAAAATAAAAGAAATCCGCAGGACTAGTTGGAAAATTCCATTGAGATGAAGGAAGAAATTTTAAAACTACAATACAATTACTATGCTATCGAGAACTAGAGGTTGGGCAACAAAAAATCCACTAAGAATCAAATAAGCGTAATAGAAATGAGAATATTAATACATCTATGCAATAAATTGAGAAGGATAAAGCGACAAATAATCATATTACAAAAATGGGTGTAGCTCCAACTGAAGTAGAAAGTTGATGGCATTTGGCCAAAAGTTAGAAAATATATTAGCAAATCAAAAAAATTACTAGATTCTATCATTTGCCAAGATGTATTTAGAATTCAAAATGGATTCTAAACACTAAAAACAATTTCAAGATCTTTCTAATACAATGATTTCAATTTTACATAAAATGATTACAAACAAAATAATCATTTTCTAAATTAAGTTTTTTAATTGAACTAATTGAATTATCCCTTAAATAGTTTAAGAATGTAATAAGGAGAGTTAAAGATGCATCAACAAGGTGGGTGAATATAATTCATGTGGAGGAATTGGAATAAAAAAAGCTCAAGTCAATAGTGATATGCATAGGAACCTTGCAAAAAAAGGACCACACAAAATTTAGAAAACATGTAGCACTAAACATAAATGAATAGGAAACGAGGATTCTAAAACTCAACACAAATAGTTGGGATAATGATGAAATATAAGTAAGAAGGCCTCTAACTAGGCCAAATTCAAACGCACATTATCATGACAATTAATTATTTATTTTACTTTCATTAAGAAATACGAGGTTGACAATTTGAGGTTTCGAGAAAATGATTTAGATATAAAACCCATTTCAAAACCAACTAAATCATCTAAAATTAATGATTCAAGGACAATCAAATATTTGATCGAACAATTTAAAATTGAAATATATTATTTGTTTTCATACGGAGATATCTCGAGGGGTTGCTATTATGGCCTATGAATGAGTTTTTTTCAAGAGAAAATTTTGTCAAATTTAATAGGGGCCCTTCTTTTATATTGCACTTCATGTAATACTTATACCCCCATTACTTCAACAAAAAATAACTTCGATCTATTACCATAAAAGTTGGTGAAGCCAAATGCATGGATTTATTTGCGAATCAATCACAGTTAAAATTTGTGAACTCAATATATATCATTTTCTCTCTTATTTCTTGTTCTCCTATATCTCACCATCTTTCTAGAGCCTTAATCCACTTAAAAACTCAGAAAAATCAAGTCATGCCCTTTCCATATAATCTTTCTGTCAACCATCTTTTGTGGCCAATCCACATAAAATATTCATAAATTCCTCCTAATCACATATCCAACCAATGTCAAAATCACCACAATTAGATAGCTAATATCTCAAAACTTTGATTTAAAGTTCTTCACTTTTTTCCACAATGGAAAACCCCCAACCTTCCAAAGCCATAAAGTTTTAGGTAGAAATCTACCTAGAAATTCTAAACTAGTTAACATTTTCCTTCAGCTTTTCAAAAACCCTAAACCTTCCACCCCCATTCTGAAACCATTAAAAACAAAAAGGAAGAAAAAAATGATGAAGCCTCCGAACAAAACCTATCCATTGTTTGACACCAGAGACAAAATTCAAAACTCCTTAGCCCTTGTTATAAAAGAGAGAAACTTAACCATCCAAACAGGCACCACAATGACTATAACGAAGGATGCTACCTTTAAAAATCCCCACACATGTTCCATCCATCAAATAAATTTAATTTCAAGAGGAGATCTTATACTGTAAAAATCAGGTATCTTCAAATCAAGTGTTATCTTAACAACGACAGATAATGTATCATTGTATAAACCTACAGGAAGATATAATGCATCACCCATAAATCAATCATGTATTATGACTCTCACTTCACCACAACACATTTCACTTTATAAAATAGAGTTCTGTGAGTGGAGAAGAGTTGATCAAGGCAAGCAAAATGAATCAGTTTTAAAAATCCATCATCAAGACAACTAATTATACTTTTTTCAATTTTATTTTATTGTATTTAAATAAGGAGAGACAAACGATAAGTGTTTTAGAGATAACATTTTAAGTATAAATTTCTCCTAGAAACATAATATAAATAAGCCCGGGTATACAAAAAAAAAGAATCAAATATTTGAATGAAACATTTAAACTGGAGCGGCATAATTGTTTTCAAATAAGAAATACTTGAGAGGCTGCCATTATAATTTATGAACACATTTTCGAAGAAGAATTTTGGTATATTTCCCCATTTTCTACTACTGTTTATGAAAAATAACTTTAATCTCTAGCTAAAAATTATGTTTGTAAGGAGTTGGCGCTGCCAACTTCTTTGATGGATTTACAAATTAACCGCAATTAAGATAAAACCTAACATATTATTTTCCCTCTTATTTCTTCTTCTACATCTCCACTATCATCCCAGAGCCTTAACCGAGTAACACTCCTTCAACAAAATCTTAATTCCTGCTATGCACCAGTTATTATCACCTGATCAGTCTATATAAAAATTCAAAACTGACTAATCCAACAAATAATTAACCTAAATTCATCAGAATTAATTAGGTAACGTCCCAAAGCATTGATTTGAAGGTCCTCGCCATTTTCCATTAAAGAAAATCTAGCATTTGATTTCCATAAAATTTCAGATATAAATTTTGTTCAAAAATCTTAAACTTATCACCATTTTTCCTTTATCTTCCACCAAAACCAACCCCAACCACTCCAAATCCATTACAACATCCCTTGAAGCCTCTTAAAAATATTCCCATTTCATAAGGCAAATAAAAATAATGATAATGATGCACTCAACTAATCACAGCTTTATTGATCCAAATTGAATCCTAAAAAAATCAAGTTTCAGATGGATCCAAGTAAAACCTAAATATTGCATAAACGAGAACAATCATATGAGCACATGCATTACTAAGCACAAATTGTGATAAAAGGACAGTTGCAAAAACTCGAAAGAAAAAAAAAATAGTGTCCCCTCCTTTTTCATGGTTTAAATCAACTAATTCATGAAAATCACAATTTACACAAGTCGTTACTGTCAGCAAATTACAGTAAGCTCTCAGTGTATGCAGACGGTAATGAAAGAAACAAATGACATATGCTTCAAGAGTAGAGGATATTGATCAACTATAACATATTCAGACTAATGTTGAACGGGAAAATGTTAACCTGAAAATCACCAAGATGAACATGGTGAAGTAGAAAGCAAGCTTGACCATCCTGTATTTCTTTTGCCCTTCTATCTGTCTAAATATCTCAGTGACATCTAACAGATGTTTCTTCTTCCAAAACCTGAAAAAAGTTTAAGAATACTAGCCTTCTCGACAAAGCCGTAAAAGCTTATAACTTACAATAGGGAAACATATTCAAGCGACAAGCATTTAGCCTCATAAAATCAGCATTAAAGAGCAATTCTTTAATGGGGCATTTACATACACACCACCCAATTCCTATGTATTTACATATCTAACATCTGAACTATTTTTTAACATTTATACCACCCAAATCTTTCATGTCACATAAAAAATGTCACCGCTTTTACTTTTAAATGGTAAAATAAATCTTTTCATGCATAGGTAAGATGGTATGCATGTAAAAATTGAAGCTTAGGTGTTAGACATGTAAATACATAGGAATTGAGTGGTATGTATGTAAATCTCTCTTCTTTTTAATTCAATGATTTTCCCAATTTAAACTAACGTTGCTAAAAAGACTAAGGTTGCAAAATATACAGAGCAGAAAATTCATCGTTAAGTATAGATGATATTAGTTTCTTGGCGTGTTTTTAATGTAGAAATTTTTAAGGATTCAAGATCGATTTCGAAAGACTCAAGAAGGTTGCCAATTTTTTAAAATACTTCGTTGAGATTATTTTTTAAAACTTTTTTATGCAATTATTATCTCAAAACAAAAGTGCTGCTGAACAACTAAACTAAAGCTGGCATGTGCAGCGATTGCTAAACTTATGGAATAATCTGATAAAAAATCTCCAAGCCTCTTTTGTAGCTATCAGATGCAAACAAAAACAAGATCATACCACTGTCTACAACTGCATGCCGACAATTTTTTTGGGGCATTCTTACGACAATTTTTTTGGGGCATTCTTACGTATTGCATATCTATCACATAAACTTTGCTTTTCTCATTTATAACACCACCAAATACTTCATATCACATCAAAACACCACTATTTTAACTTTTAAAAAGTGAAATACACCCTTCATGCATAAGTAAGTTGGAAAGTATGGAAAAATTAAAGCTGAGTTGTTAGATATGTACATACATAAAGATTGAGTGGTATGTATGTAAATCTTCCTTTTCTTCTCTTACTTTTATGAGTGTTATGAACTCAATCTAAATGAAAAACTAAAATTTAATTCCACCAACCTTCTGATAGTGTAATAGTTGAATAGTATTACATTTGGTCTCTAAAGTGGACATCTAAAGTTACCATTCTTGCAAAAAAATATTAAATTTAAATGTTATATTTACATTTTATGATGCACTTCTTAATTTTATGGTATTTTGCTAGTATTTATCAATTAATAAACTATTTTATGCTGTAGAGAAGTTCGTAGGGGGATTTAAGATCAGCATTTTATATGGCATTTTGTTGATGAGATATGCTGCCACAAGAACCTACCCAAAGGGTAGGTGGGAGAGGCATCATGGAGAAGAGTGTGTGTGGTTTCAATGAGATGCCGGTGTTTGAGTTATGCGACTCCATTTTGTCTCGAGTGTGAGGACATGAGAATTGATGAAGTCTGTCATTGTGATTTAAGAAAGTTTGGAGAGCGGTACTTCTATATTCACCCCCAACATCAAATCTAATTAAACGAAGGGTGGTATTAAATTCGTTGTGTATCATTTTAATGAATTGAATACATTTGTGAGAGGTTTCAGATTTTCTTAGCAGCATATGGAACACCCAATAAACGCATGGAAATCGTCAATAAAAAGCAAATAGTATCTATAGCCTTGATTAGATAGAAGTGGGGCTGGACCCCATACATCATAATGTATTAAATGCAAATGCTCATATGTATGTAAAGTAGGTAATAGAAAAGATTGTCTATGACTTTTGTTGCAAAGTAACTATTACAAAGAAGTATGTATGTTTATGCCTAAACTTGGTTGAATCTTAGAGAGAAGCTTGAAGACTTTTGAATGTGGATGCCCAAGGCATTTGTGACAGATTGCAGTTCTTCGTGGAGTTGGCAAGAGCTTGAATGGAAGGTGGAGTGGAGGTGAGCGAGCATAAGTCCTCAGAATTGGTTCCCCGGAGTAAAGGTAGCTTCGTCTTGGGATCAAAGATGGTGAAGTAATTCAGATAAAAAGAGAATAGCAACATTATTGTTATGAATCAGTTTATGAACAAATAATAGATTGTGAGAGAGATGAAGCATGTCAGATTTGAGGTAGGAGAAGCTTACAGTGAGGTGTCGGAAGGATGCCCATGCATCTCTATACAACTGGAACGGGTTGACCAATACCCGCCGTGACTTGTTCAGAACTGGCTGTCAGAGTAGCTAGTTGTAGAAGATTGAGGTCCGAGGTAAGGTGTGTTGTAGCTTCAGAATTGAGGACCCAAGGAAAAGTGGTAGCTTGCAAAGCATGTTTGGTAGGTATGTAATCAAGATTCGACTGATGCCAGCAATGTTGCAGTGGAGTGGCCAAATTTATTGCAAATTTGGCATGTGACGGAGACTCTTGGAGTGCTTCGGCCCCCATAGACCAAGACTAAGCTAGGCATGACCCTGACTATGACCGTTAGAGGCCGGTGGACCGCGAGTTGCAGTGAGAGTGAGTTGAGGATTATAGGGATGATCAAGTTTCTGATTATCACTTATAATGTTAATGTGTTCACTAAATAGAAGAGAATAAAAATCATCTAAATCGATAGGCTACAATTAAATACAAATTGTTGACTAGAAGCCTTGGTATGTTACAGGGAGCCCATGCAGTGTGTAGAGGATGATATCTTCGCTATCTAGTTTACCGCCAGCAGCGACAATATTATCAACCAAAGCCTTGATGCTAGATAAGTATTGTGTCATTGTTTGATTGTTCATCGAGAGAGTATGAAGGGTGTTCTTCAATTGGATGAGTTTCGGTTCATTGGTTGAAGTCTTTTGGCAATGGTATGCCAGATCTCTGTTGTAGTAGAGAGGTGCAAAACATAGGGAAGAATCGGCGGGGAAATAATTGTAAAGCACAACAACTAAGTTTTGATCCACTAAGATCCATGAGGCATAGGAGAGATTGTCAGCCTGCAGATAATGATGCTTTCGGAAAATTAAGGGCAAATGGTGCTTCCGTCCAAGAAACCTAGACACCTTTTTGCGTTGAACTCCTTGAGCACTTGTGCCTTCCAAATAGGATAGTTCGAGAGAGAGAGAGTTTTGGGTGAAATGTTTGAGGTTACTCATGAGAAATTTGAGAGAGAGAGGGATAGAAATTGTGGCATTAATCTCCATTACTGATGGATAGATGTTTTTTTAAGTTTGCGAGGTCTACATGCCTTGAGGTCGATTTGTGTCAAGCTGAACAGATTCCAAATCTGTGGGGAACGTGAAGGAGAGATACTTGAATAACCTTGAGCTCAAGGCTCTGATACCATGATAAACTATTGAAAAAGCATAAGAATATCAACGCCGGTCCCTCCTATATTGGTTAAAAAAAATTCGAGAGGTATGAAATTACATTGGTTTGTAATTTGTTGTTGCACCACAGGAACAATATACTTTAACCTATACCGTGAAGGTTATTACAATCAATCCCAGATTAGCCAACAAGAAAGGCTTGAATGGTTGAATTGTGACCCATATAATGTCACTTAATCGTTGGTTAAGATAAAATTAACTTTTATAATAATGTTCTAAAAGGAATTAGGAAAGACACACAAGATGACAGTATCACCAAACATCAATATTTTAAACATAATTTCCCACACCTGCACATATTTCAGTTTCAACATTAAATTTTTTTTCTTAAACAATGGAAAGTAGGCAAAGCATAACAAAAAGAGCTGCAAAAGTTGCTTGTACCCACCACGAAACTGATACGTATAAAAAAGGTTCAATTTTTCATATGCTTTTAATGTATATTTGGTGATTTTCAATTATATTACACTTAAAATGAAGGTATTTTGCATATTTTTTATTCCAAGGACAAGAAATGAATTTTTGGAGAAAAAGAAAGAAAAACGATGCAATTTGGAGCTGAAACGAGCAAGAAAGAAAATTTTGTCCTAACACATTTCGATATGTCTTTCTATGTTTAATCTCATTTACACTTTTCACACATTTTTAAATGAAATTACACTTTAAAGAAATGTTGTTTTTATGCTTATTTGTAGGTTTATCTATTAGGAATGCAACGCAACTGAAACGAAATGAAACAGAGATAAAACGGAGTCAAACGAAGCAAAATAGTGGAGCTGCGCAGGGTAGGCATCGACAGCGCCAGAGCCGGCGCCGGCAACGCCAGAGAGCAGAAAACGACGTCAAAATGGCGCCGACGGCTCCCAAAACGGCGCCGACAACTCCCGAGACGGTTTGGACGTGATGTTGGGTGAATTTCTAGAAGATTCAATGTATTTGGACACTTTTTGGAGGGTTGCTTGAGGCATCTCTTAAAAAATTCGTCCCTACACTACAATAGAGTGCTTTTATGTCAGAAAAAGTGGTGTGTGTGAGTGAGAAAATATGGAGAATGTTTAGAGATCTTATAATATGAGTAGAAACATAGATTTTACCTTTTTGGAGAGATTGGTAAGAGGATTTTGAGAGAATATGTAAGGGAATGTTCTAGCATTGCATGAATCAGCGGGAGACTTTGTGGGAGAGATTTTTATCTTTCTTTCAAGGAGAAAAAACTAAATATTGTGTTCTTCATTATCTTATGATTTTGTAAACACTTATCTAATGGATTTGCTTTGATGAATTGAAATTTTCCGTTGTGTTTTCTTCGTGTTTTATGATGTGTTTTTCTTACTCTTTCTTCTTATTAGAAAACAGTGACATGAGAGAATTATGTCATTGTTTTCCTTTTACTTTTCTTTTGCAATGAGTAGGATTCATGTTTAAGATTTTGAGATGCATGCTAGAAGAAGTTTTAATTATAAATGTAATGGTTTTTACTTGCACTTCATTTACATTACAATAAAGGTCTGTTATAGTATTAAAATTCGTTGTAATTGCATTAAAACCCGAGAGTGCGGTGTAATTCTCAACAAATTGGAACCACATTTGATTCCATGAAAAAGTATTTCGTTCCTGGAATTAAGTGCAAATAAATAGGGAAATATATATTGTTGGGTGTAGAATTAGAGATTTTAGAGTGACATACTAAAATCGTCAATTCGGTCTTAGTGTTTAAGAACTAAAGCGAGAGTTAGTCTTCAGGGGAAGGGAAGTGGGAGCTTTGGAGTGAGAGCCAGTATCCTCCCAGTCTAACCACAGATTATGAACTAAACCTGAGATTAGTCAATGATTTTCTATAACATTGAATCAGGGTAGAGAATTAAAATTGCTCCTATTTGGCACATACAATATTTAATGCATCTAATTTCTTTACATTCCAGTTCGCTGCATAAGAAAAATAGTTTTTAATATCTTAAAATTCTCCAAACCAACTCATCCAAAAAATGTTATCTTTAGAATTAATATTTACATTTAGAAATAATTACTATCCTTACATTTAACATTCACATTTACGAGTAATTGCTAGATAAAACACTATTTTAATCGACATTCTAAACTAAGGACTAATAGTAATAGACTGGAATTTAACTAAGGACATCTTTCTTCGCTTCCTCGTGGGATTGATATTCGGACTTAATTAGAGTCTTGTATTACTTGAGCGATACGTATATTTGTATTTATATCATTGTGACTATATAGAATATATAAAATTAAGTATATAAAAAAGTCAACCTCTCTATTTAGAGTGAACAAACAAATTATATAAAAAAAAATATATTCACAAAAAAAAAATCAAGAGCACAAAATTCTCAATTATATTTACGGTAAAAAGTGCAAATAAAAAAATTGTTTAGTTACCTTTTCTTATTTTCTCAATATTAAGATAAATAATTTGTGGTTAAACAGATTTGTAAGTAAAATAATAATAAGATACATTATCACCATTTTAATTTTTAAAAGCAAAAATATACAATTTCATGCATGCTAAGTTGATATGCATGCAAAAATTAAAATTTAGGTGTTAGTTTTATAAATACAAAAGAATTGAGTGGTATGTATGTAAATCTTCCAAAATAGTAATCTAAACTCCCAGATTTCTCCTTGCTCCTACTCAAAACGACTGAGGAAGAAGGTAAGCTCGTCATTCTCCCCCTTCCTCCCACCCACCTTCAGGCAATTCGGTTCCTCAAAATGTGTAAATTCGTTTTCCAACGGGATTTACTAAATAGGATTTGAGGAAAAATGGAGGGAAAATTGGATTTAAAAATCTAAGATTTAAAGATGACATTTTTGTTGTTTGGTAGAATTTAGGTTGAATGAATCCGGCTTAAATCTTGCAAGAATCCAGCTACCAACCGCCCCAAACTCGCATTTCTTTAAAAAAATCCAACTTTAATCTTGCTTAGATGAACTAATCATAGAGGCAAAACCAAAAAATTTTTTGGTGGGCATACAAATCATATTATCTAAAAAATTTGTCCAATCTCATTTATCCACAAAAATGATTCCAATAGCCAATTATTCTTTAATTAATATGCCTTGAAACTCATCCAATATAGTTGTCGATAACTTATTGCTTAATTAATAATAATAGGCCCGTTCACAATCATATTTCATTTCGCATGCATCGAGAAGTCAAATAATCATTTTTATCCAAGTGCCATATAACATTAATATATATATATATATATATATATATATATATAGATTATAAAAGTGGTGGACTGTAGGATTACACTGACAGTTTCTTTCATAAGTACACACAACAAAATTAAAAAAGAAGATTAACATACGTACCACTCAATTCATATATATATACATATATATATATAACATCTAGTTTTTAAATACATGCCACCTTAGAAGGTGTAATTCATTTTTTTAAATATAAAAATGGTGGAATTTTTTATGTGATATAAAAGTTTGAGTTGTCTAAACATGAAAAGTAAAGTATGTCTTAGATATGTAAATAAATAGAAATTGGGTGGTATGTATGTAAATGCCCAATTAGAAGAAAAAACACAAAATGTTTACTATGGCTGAAAACAAAATGATTTTTTTAATTATTTTACCTTGTATACGTTAGTCCCCCATCAAAAAATAATAGTCTATTGCTTTTGTTTAAAGAAAAAGACATAACAGCCTTGCTTGCACAGCAATTGGGCTTTTGGCTTGGATGGTTAAAATATAATGATTTTGCTTGAACAGTAATAGAAAAGAAAATATGTTTTAAATGAAGTACTAAGAATTTGAACTCAGAGGTTATTTTAGTTTGCTAAGATTTCATAAGTAATTATTTACATCTTTAATTAACTCAATTAGCTTCCATCAGCACCTCACCTCTTAGGTCTCCTAAATTAGGAATTTATTAAATAAAAAAGTTAATTATTTTCTTGACAGTGGGCAATGCGCTGCTGGTGTCAGGAAAAATTACAAAAAATATTTTTCTCTTGTAAAAATTATAAAATTGAGGGGGGCAATTGCCCACCCTTGAGTGAATGTGGGTCTGCCCCTGCCCTCTAGAGAATTCTACTCCTTATATAGAAGATAATAGGCATCATATAAGGCAAAGATCAAGTAATTTGTTCAATCAGATCTACCCTAAGAAATAATAAATCATTTTCCAAACGGCGAATATTCACATCTTAGACTAATTATTTGTACATATCTCTAGCTATAATTAATAAGGAGCAAGAAATACTGTTATTAAGGCGTATATTCTTAATTAAGATTGTAATTAAGGCATGAAACAATGATCTCTACCCTCAAATTCATGCTAGCTTGTCAAGAAACAACAATTTGCCCACAAGAATTAATGTTGTTGTCATGTCATTGTGTTTCGAAAGACATCTCCAATCTAAGGGTTTGTAGAGATATGAAAGGATAAATCATTCAAGTGCTGAATGTATCCTAAATTTAGTGTCACCAACTTCAGTATATATTATCCGTTCATCATACGCTGGATTAGAAGCGATTTGGATAGTGCTGGTACTAGGTATACAAAGGTGGGATTGTTGTGAAAAATAACTAGTTCAAATAGAAGTTCTCAGAACCAGATAACCTCTAAACATGTGGCAGATATTGCAGGATATTCAGACACAATAAATGATTCAAACACATGAGAGTATTTTTTACTCTTCCAAAAAATTAAGGAATAGCCAAGTATAAACTAAACTGTGACTAAGCAATGCCTATCAGAACACCTGACATATCTTCTTAGTTAAAATTTTAAATTGTAATTAAGGCGTATTACATTCATAAAGCATAATAATAATGAAAATAACAAATTCAAAAGAAACGCCAGAAAGATATTTACATGTTGTATTCATATAGCAATCAATAACATAAAACTAAAACTACTAGTGGGATAGACAAGGTTTCTTGAACATATATTTGATTGAAAATGAACCCACAAGTTAAAATGTAAGGCAAAAAATGCTAGTAATTAATTGAACATGAAGATAGTAATAATTACATACATTTGCAAGTGGTAGTAAGTGATGGGTGCCATTATGATCAATGGAATCAACTGCCACGTCATGAGGAAAAGACTGCTTAGAAATCCCTGAACTATAAATTCAGGAACGATAACAGCATTGACACGAGATGAAGAGTCATACGGGTTGATGTAGTCGCATTCCAAATCAGATAAGCATATCAGCTGGGCCACGTCATAAAGCAGAGTTAAAGGACACTGAAACTAACGGTAAATCCATATGAAAGAAGCCCATAATGCCATTTTTGTATTAGAATTTTGGAATATTTACATATCTATCACTCAATTACTATGTATTTACGTATCTGACACCTAAACTTCAATTTTCACATATACGTCACCTTGTATGCATGAAAAGGTGTATTTCACTATTTAAAAGTTAAAATAGTATTACTTTTTTATGTGATAAGAAAGATTTAGGTGGTAGAAATAAAAAAAAGCAAAGCTTAGGTGTTCGCTATGTAAGTACATAGAAATTTAATAGAATGTATGTAAATGCTCATAGAATTTGATAACATTGTTGTACAACAAACATTGATGTATAACAAATTATAAAAATATTCTAAAAGGCCAAAGGGGTTTTTACATACAATGAACTCTAAACCTTAAAAATTACATATGAAACCCAAAATTTTGATGTTACCTAATAGGAACCCAAAAATTCTTATTTTATGGGAATCGGACTCTGTTTCTCTCTGCAATCCCCCTTTGTCAATCTATGCACGGGAAAGGAAAAGGTAAGAAAATTCTTCCCATCTGGTGCCTCCTCTGCTCCAGCACCCACAGCAGACTCCCTCACCCATTAGTGATCCCTCTGCTTGGCACGCTCTAGCAAGCGACAGATCACCTCGTCTCCCTCATTCGCCCAGATCCCGCTTTTAGCTCTCATTTTTTAAGCACAGTCGTTGATTCACCCATGCCTTGTTCCCGTCTCCCTACTCTTATTCTCCTCCTCCTACGAGCCCTACTTGTGAAACCCTCACGCCTCGTGCATCTCCGAAGCCCCGCACAATAATCCCTCATCGCTCTTCATCTCGATTGTTGCCTAGCACACACCTTCATGAACCCTTTTCCAACTCGAGAACTCCGTAGTAGTCCTCCCCGTTCTTGCCGCTCCTTTCTCCTTCTCAGACAAAAACCCCATTTTCGCCAGCCTTATTCCATGCTACTCCCTTCAAACTCTCCCTGACGCAAGCCTCATTGCCCCAGACACCTGCTCTCACACATTCCGCCGGCACCTTGATGGGAGTTTCGGAGGCCTGTATAATTGCAATCACCGGGAGATCGGAGGAGGAGGAAGATGGGAGTTTTGGAGGCCTGTATACCTTTCCCGCACTCGGATTGATGAAGGAGAATCACGAAGAGAAACAGAGTTTGATTCCTATAAAATAAGAATTTTGGGTTTCTTCTAGGTAATATTAAAGTTTTGGGTTCCATATGTGTAATCTTTAAAAATTGGAGTTCCATGTATGTAAAACCCCAAAGACAAATCATCAAAAATATTACAAATCGTTTGTCTCTCAAAACAATAAAAGCATGGATAAACAAGTTCAGCTTATCAAATGGTATGCTAATTGCAACAATTCACTAGAAACTTTGGACCTTTTTACATCCACCAACCAATGCATATAAAATTGCATCTATATCTGATCAATGAAAGATTGAAGGAAAATATATCTAAATGATTTTATGGAATACTATCCTTTCATTAAATAAATAATTGCAATCCATGCAAATAAATGTGCCTCTTTATTTTGTGTGTGTGTGTGTGTGTGTGTGTGTGTGTAGGGTTTCAAGCAGCTCAGAACGTGATCAGAGTTATTTCATTGCAAGTATGAATGAAACATCGCCTATATAATCTTCACAGGTTTAAATAAGTACATGAATATAGATCAATCTAAATAAAAGAAAAAAGGAAAAAGAAAAAGAGGAATGATTTATAAGCTTCTGATTATCAAGAGTAATAAAAAACTAAACACCCTCCGGAGAACAAGTAAGTAGCTAGAGGAGTTATCCAAAATATTTTGCCTGATCTCTTGGTACTCTTCATGTGAGATGAGCTTCTTCTTTGCAGTTCAATTTCATTAATAAAATGGAAAGGCTAATTTTTACTGTACAGTCAATTGAAAACACGAACAAGAAGGATTTACACTAAATTTATTAAATTAAATAAACAAGTCAAGGAAGATTTACATACATACCACTTAATTCCTGTGTTTACAAATCTAACACCTAAACTTTCGTTCTTACATATATTCCACCTTACCTCTGCATGAGAATGTGTATTTCCCTTTTTAAAAGTAAAAATAGTGGTGTTTTGATGTGATATGAAAGATTATGGTGGTCTCAATGTAACAAAGTAAAGTTTAGGTGTTAGATATGTAAATACATAGGAATCAGGTGGTATGTATGTAAATGCCCCAAAAGTGAAATAGTTCAACAAAATTCCCTCCTTAAAATTGCTGGTAGACCTTATTAAGAAAGCTCAAAAGAAATTCAGATTCACTGAATCGTTCCGTGGAACAATATCCGAAGGATTGTACTTGCTTTATCTGAACATATTGCTTCATCCAAGCTAAATAATATATCTTTTCCTACTCCCACAAACTTAGGAGCATGCACAGCAGTTATCTCTAAGCAACTCCACAGCATTCATTCAAGAGTAAAAAAATGCAATTCTTAGCTATTCAAACAAAATGCTTAAACCTAATTATCATAATTCAAACTAAAAAGTAATATGAATTCGGTAAAACCTACATCTATATCAACAAACATAATAGAAGCACATAAGAATCTTACGGAGAAAACTAATCAATGAGAAAAAGCCACAACTGATTTCCTGAAAAGACAACAAATTTAAGCAGCAACGGGCTGAAGCGGAACGCCACACACAGTTAAAAGCAAAAAATAACAGAGGATCACAACAGAAGAGTGAGTTCAGATGCAGGTCTCAGAAAGCGTAATGGTTTTAGGGCTAGGAAGAAGTGCCTGATAAGCGTCAACAGCGATGAGAGCGATGACTATCACGAAAGAGATTATCCACAGAAGCAGCTCCCAGGCCATGGGATTCTCCAATTTAGAGCTGAAAGCTATGGAACATCCAGTCCTGTGGCCTTTGGACTTTGGGTGGGAGCTTTTTCCGGTGTTTTTTTATTTTATTTATTTATTTATTTGTATGTTTATTAATTGTCTTATAATTTTTCTTTTGAATAAGTCTCTCTTCCAAATAATAAGAATGATCTAAAAAAGAAAAAAACAAGGACATACAACTAAAAAGAGAAACAAAGAAATAGAAAACATGAAGATTAAATCTCGCATTGATAGATTAAGTATATTCTCCTCGGGTAGAGACACATTGAACAAATATTCACGAACAAACACATTCGTAGACTACTCATAACCAAAAAATTCAAGTGTGTTTGCTTGTTTTGGGGTCTAGAGTGCTCCCAAGGAAGCATATCACATTTCGTTAATTACATCTTTAGGTTTGCCCAAGATTGCCCCTGATCCAAAAAAGTTTTGCTTGCATTAGTTGTGACTAGCACTGGGCTATTAAAGGACAGTTATTTCGCATTGAAATACTTTGATGCTTTCAAAGCTCTCGCTAAGTCATGGGCAGAGAGTGAGTCTCTCGCGATCCCCACATAAGTAACAGACTCATTGGTATACAGAGCCTGTGAAATAACCGAATCATCCTAACAGAGAATCCCAATATGTCAAAGCACATTCGAGTAATAAGGGTTGATGACAAACGAAGATAAAAGGAGAGACATGGCTCAACAGAGGTAGTCAAAAGAAGAGATGAGCAATCCATAGAAGGTAGAGGTAGTCGGGTCAAGGTATTGTGGATCTGTCATCCCAAACCACTGGGACCTTATGCCTACCTTGTCGTGAAGGTAGTCAACCCAACACGTCCTAAAATCCCCAGTCAACAATCTGTGAATTGATTCATCAACGGGAACCTCGACAGCCCTAAAGTAAAAGGAACAAAACTCTATCATTTGACTATCACGTGGAGTTCCAAGTGGTGGAACTTATACTAGCCAAGTTGATGAGGATGCCACAGGAAAAAAGAGACATGGAGATTCAACCACAAAGCTGGAAACACTCTCAATAAAAAAATTTACACCCCGTCTAAGTCGGGGAGCTTTCTAACGACTTAAGTGCATTTGACAGCCACGTGAGTAGAAATCTATGTTGGTCAGTCTGGTTGAAGAAGCACAGGGGTTTCTACTCGGGACATGTAGATGATGCAATTCTCCATTCAAGTCCTAAATGTGGAGGCCCCATTAGTATGACTTAGGATATGTCCATGCTAAGCAGCCCATTTTAAACCGGTCTGAAGGACATGCTGGAAAATAAAAGATATGATTTAAAATATTGAATATTTTAATCCTAAATTTTAATTACTCTTGAAATTTTATTTTGATTTTTGTAGAAAAAATTTACAATTTTAAAGTCCTAAATAACCTAAATTATAATTTTTTAGCATCTCATATACATCTAGAAAGAAACAGGGGAAACGGCTTAAGCATGCAGTCATGCGGGAAAAACGGTAGAACGAACTAAGTAAAATAATAAAAAGATCTATTTTGTTGGGTCAGAGACATATCCCAGAAAAGGAAAAGACAATTGAACTTCACATATACATGTCCTGTCATAATTATATACATAAATGAAATTTAGAATTAAGGCACGAGACACGTATAATCAGCTTTCGGTCATTGTCACGTTGTTTCACGCATTTTGGGCCTCGAAACCCATGCACCTATCTTATTTCTAATATAGGATTCTCCCAGGTACTCTATAAAATACAAAGGAAAATCCAAAGAAAAATGACTCGACCTACATGAAAATAATGTTAGTGGGAAAGCCAACAAACATGCAATCGTATCTTAGCCATGTCTTATGGGGGAGCTTAGCAGCATCTGCAAGCAAATGTTAGCATGTAAATCATCACATGCTCCCCCTTTTATTATATATGTGTGTGTGATTATATATGGCATGACCCCCAATAGAAAACTGCTCTGATATAATACTACAAATACAGAAATTAAACACACAAACACACCAAAAGCACAAAATGATGCCTAGCTGAGGGCAAACACACAACACAAAAGAACTGCTAGGCCACCAAAAAAGGCTAACTAGCATCCTAATCCTTAGCCTAGCATAACATCTAAAGTGTCCTAACACAACATGCAAATGAGTGATGGGGTTATGTTAGAAAGCTGGCATATGTTTTGACCGTGACTGTCCTCGACTTAAGGATCTAATGACTCTAATAAGTAATGCAAGTTTTGTAAAAACTTTGAATTTTTTTTTTAAAGGATGACCTTACATATGGTCTAATGTAGAGATGCAAATTATTTCAAAATAAGTTTTAAGAACTATTTTGCATAAAGTAATAAAAATATATAAATTTTTTTTACTTCTAAAATAGGTCCTAATAGAAGGAAAATCCTAAGTGGCACCTATTAGATCCTTTAGAACTTTAGCACAACGTATGCATACTGGTCCAAGGTACGATAGCTGGTATTGCCCACTAAGACATCTTCGTGGGCAATACTAGCTTCCACATTGTGACCAACGATGGGTCACTCAACTAGTGAGCTGGCTTCGTCGTCAATACAATCGGAGAATGCACATGCAAATTCAATAAATCCAAGATGATGTGATCATTCTAGCAAAGTAGGAATAATCAAGAAAGAGGCAAACATTCACCAGTATTATATGAAATCATATACTAATAGCGAAAAGGTCGCCAATGCAGAAGGATGCTTGCAAAACATACAACACAAGTGCAAATGAGCGTGTCGCGGAGGTTGGGACCCGGAGGGTGGGTGTACTGCGGATGCAATGACCCAAAAGGCTAGGTGTAATGAAGATGCAACTACCTAGAATGGTAGGTGTGGCTTGGAGGCAGTACCTCGGAAGGGTGGGTGTGTCGTGCAGACAGTGACCTGGAAGGGAGGGTGTGACAAAGAGTCGGTGACCCGGAGGGTGGGTGTGTCATCGAGATAGTGACTCGGAGGGTGGGTGTGTCGTGGAGGTTGTGACTCGAAGGCTGGATGTGTTGTGGAGGCTGCAACCCGGAATGGTGGCATGTCGAGGAGGCTGCAACACTTAGAGTGGGTGTACCTTAGAGGCTGCTGCCCAAAGAATGGGCGTGTTGTGGAGGAAGCGACCCAGAAGAGTGGGCATTTTATGGAGGCAGCTGTCCAAAAGATGGGTGTGTAGTGAAGGAAGTGACCAGGAAGAGTGGGCATGTCGTGAAGGCAGCGACCCGAAGGATGAGCGTGACATGGATGCAGTGACCCAGAAAAGTCATGGAGGCAACGACCTGAGTAATATCCTACAACAGTCTAATGTGGTGTCGTAGGAAAGAAGTGAAGTAATTCTCGTTGGAGAGAATTACACACCGTGGAGACTTGGTATGCAAGCCGTCTCCGACATGGACACGTGGGTGTCTGAGGTAACCCAAGATTCAAACATGCATGACTATGGACATGTGAGATGAAATGCAAAGAAGACATGTGAGAGTGCACTAGTGCAAGTGCAGACACTAGTGTCGTGGGGCACCATGACATGGAGAAGTCACAAAGCAAACATGAGTAGCATGCCCATGGGAGGCACAAGTATTTGATAAGCATATGGTGGCATATATTCACAAGTGAACAACAGGTTGTGAGTGTGAATGTGCTACTGCAGGCAATGTGAACCAAACATGTGATGATACAACATTCAACATAAAGGGTCGGTCGAACCAATTGGGCAGGTGGGGCTGATCGGATGAGCCGACAAAAATGATGAATGAAATTGATCGGGTCGGTGGTAGTTGATTGTTCAAGTCGACAAAAAATAGCTAATTGGGTTGGCATGGGCGGCTGATTGACGGGGAAGGGTCGGTCATACTGTTCAGACCGGTAGTGGTTGATCGGTTGATTGGTTGAGCTAATGGAAAGGATTGATTGAATTGATCGAGCCGACGATAGTTGATCTTTTGAGTCAATGAACGTGGTCAGTCGGGCTGACGTGGGCAACCAATCTATGGGGAAGGGTCGGTCAGATCGATCGAACCAGTGGAGATCAATCAGTCGGCCCGACTAAAAGAAAGCATGCAAAAGTGATATTTTGATGCAAATTAAAAATTCATGCAATACCCTTGACCCAAATATGAACGCATGCATAAATTGAGGTTTGGTCATGCTCAACAATGAAGACAAGCTCATCCTAATGACCTCACGGGTTCTCCCAGGGGAAAGTAACGGAATGTAGCAGGCATTGCTACCAAGTGACTGACGACCACCTTTGTATGCCCGACACAAAGAAATTTCATGGGGGAAAGTCTTTGCAATGTAGGGAATTTCAAAATCATGAGGCATTCTATTCTCTATGCCCAAACTGAAGGATTTCCCTCCCCTCCATCGTGGGAACAAAATTGTCAGCACAAACTCGGGGTTGCAACGACCGATCGACTACCGACAAAGGTCTATCAAATTTTGTGCTAGAAATGAAAAGGAATAGTTTTTTTCTCGTGGATTTTGCCGGGGAATTGCAAAGGCTCCCTAATCCTATGGAATTTCCTCTATGAAACAAATGTTCATTCAATATGTGTGTGGTCGTGCTAACGAGCGTCGGTCGGCCAACTTGCCTAGCGTGAGCAACCGAACCCACAACGATACCACAAATTTGGCCAATCAAAAGGCATATGACTAGGCCGACTGGTATCATTCGGCCAATTGACTTACCCAATAATGGGTGATAGATTGAGCCAAATGATACAGTGTGGCTGGTTAAACCTGTCTCGCACCAGTGACCAAAACCCATGACACTTAGCAAATTCTATTCCTAGGGCTGGTTAAGAAAGTAAAAATACAAGGGTTTGAATAATTTCACCTATGCAACGGTTCATCAAAGTGTTTCTTCATGTAGGGTTAAGCTCTCCTAACAATAGGAGAGGAACCCACCCAAGTCCTTTCCTAAGGCAACGAAGATGCTCCCCACACAGGAGTGTCACCGAAGACGGAGAAGATGACTGGATTCCTTCTCACAATTGTTGAAGAAGCTCTCCTTGCTGGACAGAATGAAGGAGTTGCTGAATTTGACCTTCCACCAAGCAGAGAAGAAGCTCTCCTCGTCG